TTTTGTAACAGACTGTTCTTCGAGTATGATAAACGTTAACGTAAAACGTCGTCACACGGCACAACACTTTGCAGTCATTACATACAAAAAGGTTTACAGTGTCTACCGTTAAAACGAAATGTACGATGTTACGAAAATTTCTTAACGACACACTCGCCTTTTGTGTGTGTGTGTACGTGTATGGGGGGGTGGGAGGGTAGATGGCACTTCGAAAAAAAAACTTCCTATTGACGAATATCCACGTTATGTGTTTATTCTTTTTCGTGGTATTTTCTGACAGAGTAAACGGTCGGGAGGGGGAAGGGCGGATATGCGTGTTTCGTAACGAGCTCTTTTTCTGGAATTAACATTTTTACTGTTTTCGGACTATGGTTGCGGCGCATGCTTCACCCACATCCCTCGCTTCTACGAGCACCGCTACCCGACTCCCGCTATACGCAAATCCTTATCGAGCTTTCTATATAAACGCTTTCGTGTGGCTTTCGTGTGCTGTTTGCGGCATGGAAACGCGGGCGAGCGCAGAGGCCCAAATCGGGGTATGTGTTTCGAACGCCCGATAGTTATCATAAGAATGGCCGTATTATGGAATCGACGTCGGGAGACATGTTTGTTCTCCGGAGTCCATTTCTCTCGTAATACTCCTGTATAGGCAATGTTGTTACGTATTCTCGGATGCTGCCGAAAGCGACGACCTCTCGTAAATTTTCTGTTCTGTTCTGGGCGACGCGACAGATTCTCGAACGCGATAAATCCTGATGCGTGTATATAAATTCTAGGATCAAGTTTTACAAATAAGCGATACAGACGCGAGACGTACTCCTAATCGCGAAACCTGGTGCACCCGATGCGATGACAACGATGATGACAACACGCTTGCGATAGCTCAGCAAGGCGTGCATTCATGTATGCAGGCGCGCGCGAATCGCGCGTTTTCGTTGTACGTGCGCGTGTACGTGTGTGCGTTTGTACGTATATGTACGCGTTGTTACAGCAGAAACGCTTGCTCCGTCATTCGTACGGGAAGGAGTGCGAGAGCGAGAGTCGACGAGTGAATAAATGAGTCGGACGCGGGGGAAGGGAGGGGAATGGGGAGGGGCGTGCGAGGAAGAGAGAAAGTGAGAGTGAGCGCGGCGCGGCGGGAGGGAGGAGAGAGACTGGCCAGAAAGAGAGAAAGAGGCATCGCGGCTTTCCACGCTGGAGGTACGAGTACGCCTGTACGTACGGAGAGGTAGGAAGGCGCGCGGGGGACGTTGTTAAGGGGCGGAGGGGGGGGGGAGGGAGGCGAAAGAAAGACAGGCACGCACATCGGCGGAGGAAGACGAAACGCGCAAGGCAGGATAAGGACAGGGTCCGCGAGAGAGAGAGAGAGAGAGAAAGAGAGACACAGAGAGCGAGAAAAAGAAACGACGACGACGACGACGACGGCGGCGATGAGGAGGGCGAGGGGCGGAAAGAGGATGTGAGGGAGCGAGAGGAGCGACGGGTGGACGAGAGAGACGAAGCGAGACGCGGGCGGGGAGGGTGACGGAGACGGAGCGCGGTGTACGTAACGAGAGGGAGCGAGTCGCGGCTGCGTCATGTTCTCAACGAACTGGGTCAGTAGGTCTCCCCACCGCGCTCCGCGCCGCACATCCACCGCCGTATACACGTACGCGCGCGTACATATCCGTACACATACACAGGCGTGGGGCGCGCGCGCGCTGGTGCTTGTCTCTCTCGGGGAGTGCCAACGGCGTTGCTGTTGACCCAGCCGCCGCCGCGGCTTGTTGTATACGTGTCTCGTGTCCGCGAACGCTTACCCGCGGCCGCGCTTCTACCTGACGATATTATATTCGTGGCGGCACTTTATCGTGCACTTTGAAAGCAAGAGTCGCTTCTCTCCGCGCGAGCAGTCGCGAGCGCGCGCGCGCTCGCGCGCGCATTCATTCGTTTATGCTTCATGCTCCCCGTTTTCTTTCCCCTCGTCCCAGAGTCTCCCGCGAGCGGATCCCCGCGCGCCTCGCCTCGAGACGCGGGGAGAGGCCGAAAAAAGATTCGGTCCTACCCGATATGTTCGCGGAATGCGTCTTACGTCACTCGCAGGACCGGTCGCTTTCTCGGTTTTGCCGGCGAGATACCGTGAGAGCTCTTTTTTTTTCTCGTTCGCATATATACATATATATGTATATATATATATATATATATATATATATATACATATAGCGGTTGATAGAGTTTTATATACTATATACAATACGTTTCCAAAATTCATCTCCGCCACGCGGAGAATTCGACTCCGATCCTGGACCGGATACGAGACGACGCGTGTTCGTCGCCGCGTAACGAAATTTGCGACGAGAGGGAACGACGACGAGGCAGGCGAGTGTTGTGGAGTTGTGAGTCGAGCGACGGGCAAAGCGGAGCCGCGGCGGCGACCGACGCTCGCGCGCGCGCGCGTTCGCGGACAATATTTCTCCGGCCGACATAGACCTGGTTCCGTAAGTAGGTCATCCCCCGCCACAGGTCGCGCAACCTCCTTCTCGCCGTCTCCCTCCGGCCGCCCCTCTCCCTCCCCCGTCCCCCTCCACCGGTACCTTCGACCGCGGCAATACCGCCCGTCCGCGTCCGTCTCCTCGCCGCCGCGACCGCGTGCTACTCGCTTCCCCCCCTCCCCGCCCCCCTCTGTCTCTCTCTCTCTCCCGCCCGGCCGTCCGTACGGACCTCTCAGGCGGCACCTCCACACCGCGTCGGATACCTGGCCGCGCGCGGTGGCATGCGCTGCTGAATCACTTTCACTTATGCCGTGCGCTGTGTTGGTTATACTCCGCGCGCGCCGCGTGTCTCGCTCGCACCGCCCGTGTCGTTAACTCTCTCTCTCGTTTCCTCCTTCTCGTCGCCTCACGGCGTCTCGCTGCCCGTCGGTAAAGGGACACGCGCGCCTTCTCTCCTCTATACCCACCGAAACACCGAAGGAGCCTGACAGTAGTGCGCGCCTCGGCACCGTTCTCCGTGGCACAGTTTCGCTCAATTTTCCGACCGTCCGCGCGGCTGCCGTCGCCGTCGTCGTCGTCGTCGTCGTCGTCGGCGACGTCGTCTTCGTCTACGTTTGTGGTAAATAAAAAAAAAAACGTCGATCTCGCCGTCACGTGTGAACGAACGTGTGTCGACGGCTCCGGTTTTTCGGAAGTGCGCCCGCTGGCAGTAACGTGTAATCGGCCGCGCGTTATCGTGAGACGAGAGTGATCGCGGCGTGAGAAGCCGATAGCAGCAGCGGCAGCGACAGCAGGCGTCGTCATCGTCGTCATCACCGTCAATCCGGCATACCCGGACGACGCGCCCCAGGGAAACGACGTAGGCCGTCGTGGGCCGTCCTCATCGTCGTCGTCGTCGTCGTCGTCGTCGTCGTTGACGACGTTGTTACCACCGCGCGCTCGCGGCGATACGTCACGTATGCCGTGTCTCGCAAAGGCGGCCTCCCCGACGGTCTCTACCTACCTACTCCATGTGCCGACGGTAGGGCAGCGGAGGGGAGGGGGGCGGGCCCTTCGGGAAAGCAACGAGCCGAGAGGACAACTAGTTGTACGCAGATAGGCGAGCTGTCAAGTCACTCCGGTCGGCTCTGAATCCCAGAGTCTCTCTTTCGTTGATCGCGCGCTCGTCCGCTCGCTCGCTCGCTCGCCGGTACATTAGTCATCCGAAATTTACAGTGTGTGCTCGGGTGCGCGCTCGCGCGCGCTCGCTCTCTTTCGCGCCTTCCTCCATTTGCGCGATAATACAATCGCGATTACGCGTCACACGTAAACCACCCGTGCGTGCCCGTGTTTGTTGACAGTCGCGCATCTCCCCGTACCGTGGTGTGTATATATATATTATATATATATATATATACACACAGGCATCCACTGCTCGTGTCATCGCTGTCGCATGTGCGTCGCCCGTCCATCTGTCTTCTTCATCTGCAGTGGTGGTGCACGCCGGACGTACGGCATGCGGATGGACGTATTATTCACCGTGCAACGCGAGCCTCGTCGTCCGCATCGTGCACGGCGATAAAGTTGGATTACAGTGCGGAGACCCAGGAGAGGAAACGACGAAGCTTGAAAAGGGGGCACCTTGGTTGCGCTTTGCCGCTCGGCTGCTCCGTTTCGACAGTGGCGAGTGTTCGCGCGCGTGCGGATACATTCGACGATCGGCTATCATCATGCCTCGGACGTAGTCCCGACCGACGTCGACGCTTTGGTGTATCCCGCGTATATACGTTTGTTGTTTGGTGTGCGCGATGGTTTTTCTCAATAAACGTGTGTAATCCGTGTGAGAGAGAGAGAGAGAGAGAGAGAGAGAGAGAGAGAGAGAGAGAAAGCGTGATATCGATATATATTATTACTCGTGTCATCACACAGGGAAACCAAAATTCGAGTGCATGTTCCCGCCTCTCATACGCGCGGAGGAACTCGTTTCCTCCTCACTACGAGTTTGTGCCGGCATCTTCTTTGTTGACGTGTCGACGTCATCGTTACCAGCGTCGACCGCGGGCGCGACGTCAGCGCGGGTGCGCCAGGTTGTGTTTTGCGAAACACTAAACTTATCGCGGCGCCAGCCGTTGTCCTCTCGCCACGGGGATCACGCGATCTCGCTAAATAGACCGGGAACAATGTCCCGCGAACGTGACGAACTGAACGGAACAGACAGACGTGAATACACCGAGATATATATACCGATATTATAATTTATTAACGCCCCGAAGGAGAATCAGCCCGATCGTCGTACGTGACTGATAAAACTCGTATAGCGTGCCCAGAACTTCGGATTCGAGAAACATTATTGGAAAAGCAAGCGAGGAAAACAGGAACGGAGTACGAAATATTATAAAAGGAACTGTTCTGTGTATCGCCGCGTCGGTTGCATCCGAGAGGGTAGGGACAGGGGAAGGGGGGGGAGCGGCTTAAATAGCCCCGTTTCATATATGTGCCGATACGCGAGCACGTCCGTCCGTCGTGCGGTGCTTCTCGCGCATGGGTGATATGTTATTGGAGATGGAGCAACATTCGGGCATGATATCCCTGAGCATGTCGCCGTTCCACCTGAGTCCGCAGGGCAGTCCGCAGGCCGCCGGCCAGCAGCCCTCGCAGCAACAGCCGCAGCCGCACTACGGCTCGTCGGCGTACAGTAGTTGCGCGCAGAGCTCGCCATCGCCCATGTGCCATCAGCCGCAGTCCCAAACGCAACAACAGCAGCAGCAGCAGCAGCAGCAACAACAACAACAAATGTCCGCGCACAATCAGGCGGCACAGTCGCAGGGTATGTCGAGTTTCGAAGCCGCCTTCTTCGATTCCGCCTCGCTCGAGGACCATCGGTGTCCCATGTGCGGCCACAAGAACATGTCCGGCTATCAGTGCGGTCTGCAGAGTCCGTTCTGCGAGAGCTGCAAGAATGTGTTCAAGCGCAACGGTTCGCCGTGCAGCAACAAAAAGGTCTACACGTGTCTCTTCTCGCAAACGAGTGGCGGCGGCGGCGGCGGTGGCAACGGCGGTGGCGGCAATGCGAGTAACGGGGGTGGCGGCGGCGGCGGCAGCGGCAATAACTGCGGCACTTCCTCGCCGCTCGAGGTCTGCAACAAGAAGGTGTACACGTGTCTGTTCCCGCCAACAGGAGCCGGAAGCGGTAACGGAGCCTGCGGCGGCACGTCCACCAGTCTAGAAGGTAACGGCGGCGGAGGCGGTTACACCGGCGGCGGCGGCGGTGGCGGCGGCAACGGCGGCGGCACTGTCGGAGGTGGTGGTCCAGGCGCGGCCAACGCCACGGTCAGCGGCGGACCGGCCACCGCCGCGGGAAGTGGCAACGTCGCCGCCGGTGCGGTGCCGACCGGCGGCGGTACCCTCTGCCACCCCGGATTGGGCCAGGTCGGCGTCGTGACCGGCTCGATACCGTGCCCGTCCGATTTCCCGGACACCAAGGACATCGTCATCGAGGAGCTGTGCCCCGTATGCGGCGACAAGGTGTCCGGTTATCACTACGGTTTACTCACGTGCGAGTCCTGTAAGGGATTCTTCAAGCGCACCGTCCAGAACAAGAAGGTCTACACGTGCGTCGCTGAGAGGTCCTGTCACATCGACAAGACGCAGCGGAAACGGTGTCCCTACTGCCGCTTTCAGAAGTGCCTCGAGGTCGGCATGAAGCTCGAAGGTGAGTCCTTTTTGCACTTATTCAGCGATTATTATAGGGATATTATTTTGGAGACACTTTGAGCGAACGATCGGAACAACGAAATAATAAGAAGGTAATTTCATTTAAAGCTTTTACCGACGCTCCGCTTCGTGAGCGAATTGGAATGTCAACGGAATATTTTGTTTGCAAAATATGTTCGTTGTTTGTTCATTCGCTTGGGGTAAATCCGTTTTTCGGTATGGAAATGCGAACTGATGTAAAGTACCAAAGAGATAATTTTGAAAAGAAAATATCTGTATTCAAAATATGTGGCATAATTATATTACAAACGTTACTATAAGAGAGAAAGATTCAATCAGTAATGGAAAGAAAAAATCAGGAGCAAAAAATCATTTCTCTAATTGCTTCAAGGACAGACACGAAAAACGTTTGTGTAGCATCTAGCATTTTTAACGTTTTGCATATCCAATATGCTAGTGATAAACGTTGCTCGATGCCACAATACATAATTTGCGAAACGTCTAAACCGGTAATTTTCGAATTTATGCCAGATATATTCGATAGAATTAGAATCGGAGGCGTAATCAAAATTTATTGCGGAGAAAATATATACGAGCTCTTAGTGCCATTAAAAAGTCTTCCTCCGATAAAAAGCAAGCGCGAAAGGAAGAGAAGGAAAAAGGATTATTTTTCTGCAATCTCTTTTTTTGGATATCGTTTTTAATAGCAGAAGTTGTTGAACAAGTTTATACTGAAATAATCTACATATCTTACAAAATAAATAAATGGCGCGATCGGTAGCTAATTATAAAAATGGCAAAATATATTCCATTTAATAATACCGGCACATATTTAGATATAAAAAACAAAAAGTTTTTCAACAACTGAATCAATTCAATTGAATTACACGGGAAGTGAATATAGATTTGTGACTCGTTATGTAGATAGCATCTCGTGAGAGAATTTTATCGACGGATGTTGGTGATAAAAAAAAACATGTTTTTATGTGCATACGCTCAGTTGAAGGAACCTAAGATCAATGCACGTGAAATACACAGTTGAAGGAAAAAACAAAGAATATTTCAATTTTCTAATTTTCACGTTTAAATAACGTTATCAATGTTATATAACAAAGGAATACAAACGTAAAAAGAACGATGGCATTAATTCCGATCAATAAATTGTGCGAAGGTTATCGTCTGAATCGCGATATTCGATAACATTGTAACGTTAATGTGCCTCACCATATAACTGATAACGAGCTAATAATAGGCATAACAATGCACATCGGCATAACGTCGTTGAACCGTTTCTTTTAAAAAGTTTCTCGCTGAAAATCTGAAAGTCTTATTCTAGAGGTACGTTTATAAATGTAAATATCCACGCGCGTATGTACATCAAATCCACGCCTATTTCCGTGTACAGTTTTGCACCGCACACATTCTGCGGAGGCACTCGAGGCACAAGTGTTTTCCTTTTTTTCGTTGTCGCCGTTATAAAAAGATGTATATGAATATCCAATTCCGCGCGCGCGCGCGAGCGCGCGAGTATATACGTAATCGCGCGTAATGTATCGATCGCATCGCGCGCGCGTCGCCTCATTTCAATAATTTCTCATTTTACTTTCACCAGGCGTGAGCCACGTTTTCCCGCCAACAGTGGTCCGGTGTCACCGGCGTTATTATCATGTTTTATGTTATCTCCCGTCGAATATCTCCGCGCGCGGACGCGCACGCGCTCGTGCCGCCAACCGCACGTCAAGAGCCGTTTACGCGCGTGTTCGGTTGTCGTCGTCGTCGTCGTCGTCGTCGTCATCGTCGTCGACGTCCGTTCGTCCGTCCGTCCGTCATCGTCGGCCGGACTCGGTTCTCGTCAGCGCGACGCTCGGGCGTTTTCGCGCACCACGCTCGTACGAACTTAACCTTATTACACGCCGTGGAAGCGATTAACCGAGTCTCTGCACACACCGCGTGCTCCCTTTCGCCGTTTTAAAGCTCGGGGAATGCGCGCGCGACAACGGCAAGCGCGACAGTACGTACCTCTTATAGCCGCGAATCGATCGCGCGCGCGCCTCTTCCTCGCGTCGCGATATTCGAGCGTCGTCGTCGTCGCCGCGGAGCGGAGAGAAGCGGTCGTTACTACATCGCCGGACAAACGAAATTACGTCACGGCACGGCACTAGTAACACAATTACGCGCCATTATCTACGCGCTTACGTTCGACCCCGTTTAAACTCCTGCGCCAACAATTTCTTTTTAATTAGCAGAGACGCGGCTTTGTGAACTTCGGTAAACCTATAGCGTTCGCGGGGCGATGTATAAATTATGCCGTGATAATTTTACGTAAGGAAATATTCTGTATTATACATGAGAGACTGTCCCTCTTTCTCCCTTGTTATTAAATTAACACAACATCTGGCGGCAGCCACTTGATAATTTCTTCGTTTCTAATTATATCTTAATATCAAGATTAACTTATTAATACCGAGCCGGGGTCGTGTATGTATTCACGCGCGCACACGTATACAAACGCGCGCGCACGTATAGACGTGTAATGAAATTAAATTGAATCGAGTTTATAAACAGGCTAGTCCGATCGATGCTCCAATTTCGGCGCTTTCCGCCGCTCGCTCGCTCGCGATTGCGTCGCATTCGTCAAGACGCCGTGGAGGTTCGAGAGACAGAAGGCAGAAATGCCGCCGAGAAACGGAGTTTGGTCCGCAGCCATCTAATGCAATCCGAGTAACTGGGTCTAGGCCCTCAAGGCCCAACGATTAAGCGAATCTCGAAACAGCGTCTGTTGCAATTGCCGTCTTTGCACACCGTTTTCCACGGCGCGTTCCTACGACGGCAAACGGAGGGAGATTGCTTAACGCGGAAAGTTTCCAGAGTGCTTGCGAGTGTTTACGAAAGGAAAGGGGGAGGGGGGGGATTCTTTTACCTTTACGTTGCGTCTCTTACCAAGTTTGCAAAAGAATGAGGAAAAAAAAATTCCGCACCGACGAAATTCGCGATGGAAATGCGCTCCGATAATATGCGCACGCGAAAAAAAAAACGAGAAAGGCGCTGCCGCGCCTATCTATACGAAAAATAATTAAGTTGAATTGTGAACGAGAAAGAGAGCGAGGGGTAGAGGAGGGAGGAGGGAGTATCGATAAAATCGTAAATTCTCCCCCCTCCCCCTCTCTCTCTCTCTGTCGATCATTCGATACGAAGTATATCATTAAGTGATAATATCTGTCATAATCGCGACCGGACGCTGCCATTTCGTCGCTGCAAAACGTAAGGAGCACAGAGTTAATGGTTATTGTCTGTCGTATCGTCGCTATATGACATTTTCGACGTTTCACTCTCTCGCGCGTCGCGCTTATTCGCCACGGCGCTAAATTATTGTATATTCCTACGCACTCGTCGCCGAAAGCGGCGTTGTTCCGACACGCTGTGTTTCGATTAATCATCGTGCGCGATTTTGAATCGCGCACCAGCGCACTTTCTCGAATAATTTACGACGAAATCGTGCGAATTCGATTCGTTCGCCGATTTGCCCGCCGCCCGCCGCCGCTGCACTTGTATATGCGAAAGAAAGAAAAACGCGACGAGGCGCGAAAAGAGCTGGCTGGCGAGCACACTTGTTGGTAATCGCGCGCGATAACACCTGTCAAAGATCCGCAGCAAGCTCGTCGTTTTCAACGACGCGTGAATAAAGGCTCGTTTCGCTATAAAACGTGCAGTTCCGCGCCTATACGGCTTTGTAAGCGATTTAAAAACTATTCTGCCACAGCGGTGAACCCGTCGGACGAGGTGAGGTGATTTCCGGAGCGCGTTAAAAGAAATATACAGGTTATTAACAATAATTTATTGTTCGTGATAACTAATTAACTCTATCTTTTTCAAGTAATTATATATTTTAATAAAAACTCGCCTAATAGTAATAAAAACGTATTTTAGTGATTAACATAAACTTAATTAATTATTTATTAAATGTGCGGTTGTTCTTGGAAAAAGAAGGATCAACTACCTTTTATTTCTATTTCATGTTCAGCGTGAAATAAATTAAAATTTCTCATTTATTTAATTAAAATTTGATAATTGATGATAATAAAATCTTCAATTTTTATTTAATAAAAATATCATATTTAATCATATTTGTTATTATTGCGAAAAATCAATTGCTTCCTATTTCTATTTTGCATTAGTATGAAATAAATTAAAATTGCTCATCTATTAAATTATTTAATAATTTAACGATAAATAAGATCTTCAATTTTTATTTCCTAGTAATAATATCATATTTGTTTAATTATTGTGATTGATTGATATATTACAATTGGGGTAATATATTCGCAGCTCTTTGCTCGTGTATGTGGGAAATTCTTAAATGTGGCAAGGACGAAATTCCTTGCTCTCGATATCATTGAACGCGTCGCGAAACGTGGCGCAGTTTTGCGCAATTTACAAGCACCGGCCGTATGTATGCGCAATAAAGTGTCAACGCTCAGGTTTCAGGTTTCGCAGGTGCGAACAATTTGTCCGACGGTTAAGTAAATGAACTTATCTATTTTTATATGATGAGAATGCCGCTTTAAATTTTCGTCAGATAGTTCACATGTATGTAAATATCCGTGTGCAGAATTCTCTGACTTGCGCCTTGCGAGAACTGACAGTTGTTTAGATCTTTCTTGAGTCGCGGCAACGAATAATCTTCACCGATTATACAGCAAAAAAAAAATCCGGAGGATACGTTCGATATTTATTATTGACGCGTAATGCGCGCTTCGCGCTGTTTCGACGGAACCGGCGTTGAATATATTGAGCCATCCAAGCACGTATACATGCGCAACTAATATTGTGATAAGACTTGGCTTAACGCGCGGGCAAGGCGGTCGTAGGCGCACGCCTTATCAAAATTACGTTCAAATAGCGGCGACGCGTAAAGAAAAAAAAAAAAGCTTTCGACAGAGCGAGCATGAAATGCGTGGTTTTGACATCGTCGTTAGGTGTATTTTACGCGGTAAAACG